TTCCTTCTTCTCCCCCCTTCTCCAATTTCCTTCTCCCTCCCCCTTCTCCAATTTTCCTACCTGTTAGGCGGACTAGGTAGCCACCTAGGGCGCCCCTTTGGAAGGGGCGCAGCCAGGAGCGCCGGCCCCCCTCATGCTGCAGCCGCCCGAGCGCTCTGTAGAGAGCCTCAGGCGGCTGCAGCTTTGCCCTGGATGGTGCGTCCATGAGGGCGCACCACCCGGGCGCAGCATGATGAGAGGGGCTGACAGGAGGGAAGCGCTCAGCGCTCCCTCTTGTCACTCCCTCACTGTAGCATGGCCGAGCTCTGTATGGTCCGCGGGTACAGGGAGCTTTGTTTCCTGTACCCGGCCGGACTAAAAGGAAGTTTTTTAGTCCGGCCGGGTACAGGAAACAGGAAACAAAATCTCCCTGTCTGTCTGTGTCTGTATTTCTGTGTGTGCCTGTGTCTGTATGAATGTATGTCTGTGTTTGTACGACAGTATACCTGTATGTGTAGATTGTATGACTGTGTTTGTTTGATTGTGTGCCTTTTATGACTGTGTGTCTGTATATCTTTGTGACTGTGTGCCTGAATAATTATGTCTGTGTGCTTGTATGGTTGTATGTCTGTATGTTTGTGTATTTGTGTATGTTTGCAGGGACATATTAGCCGCAAGGCAAACAAGGCATTTGCCTTGGGTAGCATTTTTCAGGGGGCGGCAAAAAACGCCGCCCCCAAATGCCCAGGGCAAATGCCTAGTTAGCCTCGCGGCTAACAGACATGCCGAGCGGGCGGGCGGGCGGCGCTGGCTGCTGTGCGGGCGGCTGGCGAGGGAGCACTTCCTCTGAGCGGTCTGCTCAGCTCCCTCACGCGCCGCAGAGTGAGGCTGGAAGCCGAAATATGACGTCATCTTCCGGCTCCCAGCCTCACTCTGCGGCGCGCGAGGGAGCTGAGCAGACCGGTCAGAGGAAGTGCTCCCTCGCCAGCCGCGTGCACAGCAGCCAGTGCCGCCCAGCCCGACTGGCAGCCACTGGACCACCAGGGAGAGAGAGACCCCCCCAGCACTCCCAAAGGTAAGGAGGCTGGGGGGGGTTTAAATTAAAAAAAAAGTTAATGTGAGTGATTGTGTTTGTGTCTGACTGTGTGTGTGTGTGTTTTTGTGTCTGACTGTGTGTGTGTGTGTTTGTGTCTGACTGTGTGTGTTTGTGACTGTGTCTGACTGTGTGTGTGTTTGTGACTGTGTGTGTGTGTTTGTGTCTGACTGTGTTTGTGTCTGTGTATGTGTCTGACTGTGTGTGTGTTTGTGTCTGACTATGTGTGTGTGTGTGTGTGTGTTTGTGTGTGTCTGTTGTGTGTGTATTTAGAAGGTGGGGCGGGGAGGAAGGGTTGGGTGGGGATGGTGCGGGGGGTGGGGGGAGCCTGAGTTTTGTCCTGCCTAGGGCAGCACAAAACGAGGATACAGGCATGTCTGTATATTTGCCTGTATCTATGTCTATGTGGGAGAAAAAGAGAGATGGATAGGGGCTCGGGGGAAGAAAGAGACAGAAAGGGGCTGGCGGGGAAGTAAGAAATACATAAGAGAGGTTGTAGGAGACACACTAAAGGGGGGTGTAAGGCACAAAGGGGCCAAAGGGGTAAGACATTCAAGAGAGTGGATATGCAACACTAATGGGGGTAAGAAATTCAAAAGGGGGCTACGAGACACAGAGGTGAAGATGCATTGTTTATTTTATTTTTTTGGGCGGGGGTGGCGTCAAAATGCATTTTCGCCTGTGTAGTCAAAAATCCTAGCACCGGCCCTGATTGCGCTGCACTATAAAACCACGTGAGAAACATTGCGCTGCACTAGGAGACCATCAGAGAAACATTGTGCTGCACTAGGAGACCACTGAGATGGTCTAGGTGTAATAGTGTTCCTTTAATATCAGTGTGAATACAGAACACACACTTTAATTACTTCTACTAACATTTAGAAAACATACTTGTGTAATGAGGTTTTGATTTCTCAATAAAAACATTAAGATCCTAACCTTGCTGTTCTGGTATTACAGATATTTGTTGATATTTATTTGATCTTTGAGTTATGCATGTGGCTTTAAATGTAAATAGTTTCAAGTTCTCTATTAGACAATGTTTGAAAAATTTATTAGGTTCTTGCATGTAATCTCTATCCCATTTTGAACATTTTCTCTGACATATATCTTAATTAATTTACTGCCAATATTTATATGTTTTGATCATGAATTGTAGCCCTAATGGGAAGAAATTGATTCATGCCACTGCATTGTGTGAAACAATTTTTGCAATCATAAAAATGTATCTCATAAACAATGAAACCCAATTTGTTAGAATGTTCAATCAATGATAAACACACACGAGACAATACTACTGTACCTGGCTATATTCCTGATTAGGCGTTGCACTGAGTCCTGTTGCTGCCATATATGTGCTTCCTATAGTCTTGATTTTTTCAACACCACTAAATTTTGGTTTAGAAAGCAACTGTAAAGCAAACAAAGCATGTGTCAGAAAACAATACACAGGATGGAAATGTCCATCAGATATAGTTTTAGTTCAAACATTTCTGTTTAGTCCACTTCCCTTGGTATTAATATCTATCTATCTATCTATCTCTGTATGTCTGTCTGTCCACCATCTCTCTCTGTGTCAATTATATCTATATAGATATTTTTTTGAGTGAGTCCCAAGACATTGCTTTTTCAGCTGTTTACAAAATAATGGCTCTTTGCCTTCTGCTTTCACCTCATGTTGGAGGTTTTACAGGCCTTGAGTGAGGAGAGACTCCAGCTTAGAATGCATTGTGGCAAATGCTGCTTGGTGGGAATATTTTTGAAGAAGGCTCTAATTCAAAGATGATTCCTCAAGCGCAGGTAAGCAAAAGCTTTTAGAAAAGTAGTCTTTGTCGGCCCATGGAGAGGGCAGTGAAGAAGCCTGAAATGAGGATATTTGGAATTTACTTGTGATGCAAATAAATATTTCTGTAGACCAGATTTATTTTATGAGTTTGCATTATATTGATAATCATGATTGTCACAAGACCATGAAAGATGCATTGACTTTTTTGAGTGAAGTGAAAAGCAAGACACATCGTTCTTTTCCAGAGTAGTTTTATGGAGGTTACTGCTTCTCTTACCTCTTCAGGAAAGGATAGATATGGCAATAGGCTTATTAGTAACCTGATGGGGGGCGGAGCCTAACGCTTGAACGGACGCAACTCTACCGAGCTCCTACCAAAATAATTGAAAAATCAGTGTACCGCTGCAAGCAGATTACTGCAAATACACTAGTGTACCTACCCCATCAACCCAGTGGCATAGGTGGTGTTCAGATGCCCTTTCTGTTCCCACAAATGGGCAGGAAAGAACGCCACAGAGCGGGGCCTACTGCACGCTATCGGCCTCACAAGCCACATCAGCTCTCCTTGGCTTCCCGGACGAAGCAGGCTTGTACCCACACAAAGCCAGAAAGCACACACCCGGCGGGGATACGATGGGCCAAAAATCCCAGAAAGCTCAGACCAGCACGACCAAAGACTTCCAAGACATAGGAGCTTGGCTGCAGCGCTCGGCGACCCACAAAATGGCGGCCCCGCCAGAGCATGAGGCTGGCTCCAGCAGCTCAGACTCCGCCTACGCAGAACATGGGGAACCTGCAAACCCGAAGACAGCCACCACAGCACCTACAGACCCAGATGCTCTGACCTCAGCCACTAAGCTGGATATAAAAAGCCTGCTGGAGTTAAAGCAGATGTCAGCAGCAGAGATGGACTTAACGGTTCCGGTTTAAGTTTTGTTAAGATCTGTTATAATTGATAGCTTTTACCTTCTTACTGTTTATGCACACACCACTCTACCGAACAAATGTACACCAGACACACCTGTCCATCAAAGGTGGCTCCTCTAAGACTCGGGATATCAACTCACTCCTCACCAACACAATCACCAACTATTGTAAGCCCTCTCCCCCCTATGGCCCCCTTTGGTTAGGGGTCGTAAACACATAACCCCGACAATCCACAGCCATCAAATAACTGGAGAAGCACACATAGCAACATCCAAGCAACCCAGCACACAAGGCAACACATTAATGGAGAAAGCAACACCAGCAACACCAGAGACACAATGGGGACCCGTTTAATAAAAGTCCCTTTACCCCACCCCGTCCCAGCTTGTATATGCAGGATTGGAGAGACAGCCACCAGCAGGACCTTTACACACTCACTGCCTAATCACCACTACCATCCATATCATGACATAACAAACCTACGTACTTAAAATTGTGTGCAGCAACTACTCGTGCTATTTGTCTATCCTTGTATGTCTTGTTCTCCCTCACACCTAGACTGGCGTATCACTGCCAGTCTAACCAGCATTGTTATCTCATGTAAACCATAAAAAGAGGCTGTTTTACGCTAGAGTGCTCATACCTTGTATACCTTGTCTACCACATGTTTATTTGCTCTCACTTGTCCAACAATCTGTACTGTCTTTTAACATGCCTCAATAAAAACAAAGATTGACAAAAAAATTAATTCAAAAACGTTTGTATCCTGATATTGGGACCTTGATATGAGTCACAAGCCGAAGCGGGAGAACCATTGCAATAGTATGGAAAAAACAATTGCAATAAGCCCCCAAAAAATCCAATAGAAAAATGTAGGTAACTGAGATATGTACAAACCATAGGTAACACAAATAGCCAAACAGCTAGGTAGCCCAGAAACCAGAAGAGAAATAGGTATTTTAAACACTCCCGACAGTCTGAACATTCTGAACAAAAAAACTGATGTGTCCACTGGCAGTAATTATGGGTAGGGAATGGGGTAGGCAATGGAATTTTTTATTTTTCATCTGCCTCTGAAATGATCTTTTACTTGTGCAAGTAATTACATACATTGTTCACATCTTATCAGTTTTCTATACATCTGTACCTGTGGTCAGCTCTCCTTATGCTATATGGCGCTTTAAAGGGATACGTCAACCACCATGACGACTTCTGCTTTCAGAAGTGTTCATGGTGGTAGGAATCTGTATGTGTAGTATGGTATATCAAGTTCAAATTGAAGGAGCACTCAAATATTCATAAAAGCAAAAATGGGATAAAACACACCCTCACTGTTTAGAATTTCAAAGTGCTTATGTGCTGTGTACTGATACTCAAACCTGCTACACACAGCTGTGTTCTACCCCAAACACAAACAATACCAATAATACCAATCAAAAAAGTGGAGCAGTGATTACACTGGGGTGTGGGGGGAAGGTTGAGGAAGGCGGTGCTTACTGTGCGACTGAGACGGAGCTAGACTGCTTGCAGGGTGGAACTAAAAGTACCGTGTAACTGCTGCAGGGGAAGCAGGAAGGAGTCCCTGCTTCCCCAACAACCAGAATCCAGGAGCTGCACTGCCTCCACTCCTCCATAATAAATAGAGGTAACTATGTGTGATTGTCTGCCTGTGTGTGTGTGGCTGTCTCCCTGTGTGTGAGTGACTGTCTGTGTGTGTGGCTGTGTGTGTGTGTGCGGCTGTCTGCCTGTGTGTGTGTGTGTGTGTGTGTCTGTGTGTATGACTGCCTGTGTATGTCTATGTGACTGTTTGCCTGTGTGTGTGTGTGTGTGTGTGTGGCTGTCTGTGTGTATGACTCTCTGCCTGTGTGTGTGTGTGTGTGTGACTGTGTGTATGACTGTCTGCCTGTGTGTGTGTGTGTGTGTGTGTCTGTGTGTATGACTGTCTGCCTGTGTGTGTGGCTGCCTGCCTCTTTGTATGTGGATGTCTTCCTGTGTGTGCATGCCCGTCTGCCTTTGTGTGTGGCTGTCTGCCTGTGTGTTTGTGTGTGGCTGTCTGCCTGTGTGTGTGTGTGTGGCTGTCTGTGTGTGTGTTTGTGTGTGTGTAAAACTGTATGTGTGGCTGTGTGTGTGTATGTGACTATCTGCCTGCGACTATGTGCATGTGGTGGATTTTACAGTGTATATGAATAACTGTGTGCATCTGACTGTGGGACTGTGTGCACATAACTCTGCAAATATATACACACAGGCCTAAATGCATGTTTTTATCTGAATTAAATACCCATCACACACAGCCAATAAAACCAGCACAAATGTCATATACAACCAATACACGCATATCACACACTGTTCATACACCCATTACAAATATCACACACAGCCAACACATAGCATACATATCACACACAGTCATCACACCTTTCACATACACAGACAACACAGGCATTACATCATACATGGATGACAGGGGGAGGGAGTGCGCTGTGAAGATTGTTCGCACAGGGTGCCTAAAGGCCTAAGGCCGGCCCTGATCATCAGCACACATTGAATATCATAAAAAGGTAATATATAGGTGGCACACGTTCCACATGTCTCTGCCACAGGCACCATAATACTAGTGGCACTATAGGAAATTTGGACTTTTCTGGAGTCAAGAGTGAACTTGACTGAACTTATACCTGATGTTACTGGAAAACATTTTTCAATACTGCCATTGTTGCCAAATGGATGTAACACATCCAGGAAATTGTTAAATTTGCTGTTATTGCTTTATTTCATTTTTGTTCTTTTATTTCTGTACTCCTTTATCTTTTATAAAAAAAATTTTAATACATTTTTCAATACTAAAAAACAAAACAAAAGGCAGACCTGATCATCCGGTTTAAAACGTTGCAAGACAAGATCTCGATCCGTACAGCAGCCCATATACACTCTCCTTTGGTGTTCGAGGGGTCTACCCTATCACTGTACCCTGACCTCACCAGAGGCACCATCGCATGGCGCAAGACCCTACAGCCACTACTGCAGACACTACGGGCTAAGGACATTCCTTACCATTGGGGGTTCCCGAGAGTCCTATACTTCACCCATCAGGGCGCGACATACAGAGCAACGAATTTCCAGGAACTGGAACAACATATGCAACACTTGAGCCTGCATGGATCAGTAAGGTCAGCCACGACGGGTCTGGCAGGTATAAACCCCTCCACCGTACCGGAGTTCACCCCCCGCTCAGCACAACGCAAATCGCATGCCAGAGGAGAAACCTGAAAAACAACGCCCAAGTGGCTGGACTTGCCATTCCATAACAGGTCCACAGACTGACTACACTAAGTACTGAACTCCGATCTAAATTACCACAAACTGTCATTGTTTTTGTTATTGTTTTCTTATTATTGCCGCTATCCTTTATAGTTTGAACACGCTCCTCCACCAAACATAAATGACTACCTACATTCATGTTCCTTTAAGGCCCACCATTAAGACCCACAATGAACCCACACTAACAGGGGACCGGACCGAGGACCACAATAGAGACACCCCCCCTCCCTAGTCAAACAGAGAATAGACCACACCTTTACCTCTACCCAGGACGGGGACTTACCTACTCATACACGTAGGGGCTCTACACGACGAACCTTACTGAGACCCCCTTACATGTGTCTTACACGTAACGCTCATGTTATATCCAACTCACTAGTACAACCCTGTGCCCCTGGAGACCTCGCTACCAAACACTCCTGTAGCCCATCACCAAGGTCACACTAGCCTTATCCTACAAAATGTATAAAAGTGCTGGACTCTATCTGCCATGTAGAGTCCACAATAGAGACACCCTCCCCTCCCTAGTCAAACAGAGAATAGACCACACCTTTACCTCTACCCAGGACGGGGACTTACCTACTCATACATGTAGGGGCTCTACACGACGAACCTTACTGAGACCCCCTTACATGTGTCTTACACGTACGTCTACCCAGGACGGGGACTTACCTACTCATACACGTAGGGGCTCTACACGACGAACCTTACTGAGACCCCCTTACATGTGTCTTACACGTACGTCTACCCAGGACGGGGACTTACCTACTCATACACGTAGGGGCTCTACACGATGAACCTTACTGAGACCCCCTTACATGTGTCTTACACGTAACGCTCATGTTATATTTTGGCTGTGCCCCTGGAGACCTCGCTACCAAACACTCCTGTAGCCCATCACCAAGGTCACACTAGCTGTGGCAAACCTAGCCACTTGGACAATAACTAGAGACTGGGCCTTTAAGGGTTGCCAATAGGTCGGGCGAGATATGCGCTTTATACTTATGTATATGTTAATGTATTTTCTGTGTTACCTGTACTGCTGTTTCCGCCGAATGCAAATGGCGGTTTTGTATGGGGATTTTCCTTCGTTTCACGAACGGCACTTTAGAAAGCCGTTCGTGAACCGAACGCGATACCCTCAAATAGCCCACACACTTAGAGGCGTGTGGCGCTAGTTAACCGATTGCAACATTGTTGCAATCGGTTATTAGAGGCTCTCCTGGGTGGCCGTCGTTCGACTACCGACCATGCGGCGGTCGGCCATCTTGGATCCCTCGTTCGTCAGCGGGTCCGTGTCGTCGAACGCATACCATTACCAATGGTTATTCGACGGCACGAACACCGCTGAGCCTCCCAGACGTTCGGGAGTTTCAGGACCAGGTTCACGAAAAGCAATCGGTCCTTTTTGTAGGTTTTGAAAGAAATGTGTTTTCTGTGCGGCGTTCGGTTATTTTGGCTGGGATCTGAGCGGCAATCTCACGAATGATGCGCCCAGACCCCAGCTAACTACCGAACGTCCATTCGTGTAAATCCACCGTATATTTTAAAAGTTATGCATTTTTATATGAATTGCCAGTTCTGCTGCACGAGGGGATAATCCCCTTTACGGTGCATTCTGGGAGGATGATCCCTCTCGTGCAGCAGTGCCTGATGGGAGAAATATGTCATACTGTAAGTCC